TTTTTATTTGCAGCCATTTCTCCAGTCGTAACATGCGATTCCCGAGCACATCATAGAGCTTATAATATCTGTATAGATAAAGCAGTATATGTAACTGCACATAATTAGGCATTAAAACACTCGTGTGATGTTTTTATGAAACTCGCCTGTCGGCTCGTTTCATAAATCCACACTCGTATTGTAATCCCTTTCATTATGTAACAGTCACATAAAGTACTATTTTATAGAATAATTATATATTCTCGGTAAATTAATCATATTTATTGTAGTTAATCATACATATTAACAATGATGTTTGCTAAATATGATTAATTTTGACGATGTATCCTGTTTATTATTCAGAAACTCATAAAATTAATAGTGTGAGTGAGACTAAGCTGCGTTAAAATGCAGCATAATACTGCAGTTAGCCTCTTCATTCTATAACTTTAGTTTATTTAGAAGACCGGTCTTCGACGTGCGGTTTCGTCACGATATTTTCTTTCACCGAAAAGCTCATGGTAAACTTCAAATTAAATTTGCGAAAAACTCACGAGGTGCAAGCCCGGGTACGAACCCACAGCCTCTGCTTGGGAGGCGGTAGGTCCATTAGGTTACCACCATTAGGTTACCACGTCTTCAATTTCATTTGTTTTCGGACCTTTTATTTTTTCACAATGAAAAAGTGTCATAGGTTTGGTTGGCAGTAAATTCTTTAGCGTTTTCAATGAAACAACACTGTAATCAATTTGATATATTTTATTTTTACATAAAAGCGACAGTGGTCCGCATGTACAACAGAATTTTGACACTATAATAGGAAATGTTTCTCTTGTTCTTATTAGACAATTGCGTCTTTCGTTTGGCTATTTTTCTATTACATGAAAGCTATTCAAGCATTAATGCCACGTCACTTTGCTGTATAATTGACTGCTATAAGATTCTTAAGTCTTTATCGTACTTGCGACAACTGTGTCGACGTAGGTATAGAACAAAAAAAGATTAGTGAACAAACTGAGGAAATTCAATGAAACGAAACAAATAAAACGTTCACCCCCGTTTAGTTAGGCAAATTTCGTAATGTAAATACAAAAAGAAATGCATAGTTTGCCATTTTTGCTTAGTCGATGTCAAAGTTCGTTTTATAAATAGCCTTAGAGTTCGACCAGTTTCCTTCCTTGTTCCTGACATAGTAAAACCCATTTTAGCTTACCATGTCGCACCGCTACCTTAAGTACGCAAAGACACTAATAGCAATAATATTTAACATTCATCCACCTCTCATACAATATTTACAAACCAAAGTTTTCATCAAACTCAGTCTATATTTATTAATACTTGTCCTGAATTCATTATCTACATTGAATTTCGCTACTTACATTTTAACAATTAACTTGTGACAGGCTTCTACGCGATAGGTTGTCTTATTTTAGATGAAAATTATAACCGCAACTAATACTTAGTATGAAAATTATTTTGTACGAAAATTTCGAATCGTGATTAAAATAAGACGCTATTCAAAACAATATTATACTACGAACGTCGTAACAAAGTTGTTAGCTCATTTTGTAGAGTACTATGTAATGCAAATTTTTTATTTAGTCCGATGCCCAAGTGAGACCTGACACGGTGTTCCGACGGATCCAGTCGCGTGGACCCGGGCGACCCGGCATCGCGCACAGCCATCATCACTCCGTCATCGCGCCGGCGCGAGCAGCGTACCACTCCACTATTGCCACATTCACTGTGCGTAGAACTGGATACGTACCAAACAAAACCTTCTATACACAATTCAACATTATTATTTGTAACTAAATTATTGACTAGTAATCAATATAGAGATATAATATTTCAAACAAAAAACCATTTCATAAATAAAAAAGCTCACGTGTAAAATTAACTACGGTTAAGCTAACGGCAAAAATAAATTAACATTTTTTAAAAGAACAATTCGAAAACAACAAGTTGTTTAGTTTATTTTAATTTATTAAAAAATTATTATAAACCGCTCTTGATTTTTGCTGAAACACCCACACGAAGGTACAACTTCGGGCAGCAGGCCTTTAAAATAAAGTTGTCAACAACAGCAACAACAGTTTTTGTTGTAAAAGAGGATTGGAACGTTCAAAAACGTTTTCAATAATTTTAGTTTAGTTCAAACAAAAAATATATTCGATATTAGAGTCATTAGAGAACAAAATTTAAAACATTTATACATGGGTACTCTACTTTTTAAAGTTAACTGTTATACTAATTAAGACAACTATTGTAGCAATTCTGTTTCATTTTTTACACTTAAATCAAACATAATTAGTTAATTGGAAAGTAAAACAGAGGATTTTTATTATTTTTCAAAAATTACAAATGCAATGTTTAAAAAATACATGCACATTTTCAGCGCTAACCAGATATAATAAACTGGGTAAATGCTATACAAATAAATGGGAGATCGTGACATTTTTTGCTGTAATTGTATAACTGTTATTATGTTACAAAGAAATAACTGAAAATATGTAATATATAAAGCAACAAAGCCTACTATAAAATCTATAAAAGTACATAACGACAAGTTTTTTTTTACTCTCCCCGTGTTACGGAATTTCAAGAAACTAATGCAGAGACCACATTAACATTGTAAATAGAAATCAATTCTAGCGACGTCCTTCTGGGTCAAATAGAAACTTGTCAGGCTACATTTACTTATTTTGTAACGAAAAGCGTCTTCTATTAGTATTTTTCAGTCTCTCGAAGACTAAACATCAAAGCAATATTTATTTTGTTAATCATTATACTTTTCATAATTACACGTAATCTGTGATAAATTTAATAAATATTCTCATTCCAGTTATCTCAAAGAGAAGCTCTATTTATTAATACCTTGATTAATATTATTAAGAACAAAAACCCGTAAGAAAATTGATCTCCCGGGACCGCTCTGTTGTAATCTTGTAACCTGAAATCTGAAAACATTTTTGCTAATTAACCTTTATATTCGTGCAATCTACACCTAAAGAATAAGTCATTTCGAGACAAAATTTATGATTCATTTTAAAATAACAAAGGAAGACTGACTATTGGCATTCAGATATCAACTGATATTGTAATAGAGTATTTTTTAGGTCGAATAATTCGTTATTATTTGGGAAGAACAAGCCTTTGCGTGTATGAAATGACCAAAATGTTAGTGTTCTTTTTAAGCGACTTCCAAAAAAAGAGGTAATCAATTCGACTATATTTTTATTATATATGTTACGTAATTATTTTTTTATTGTTCAAGTGATAGGACGAACAAATCATGCGCCTAGTGAAAATGAAAAATGAAAATAGTTTTTATTTCTTTTTCACAAAAACTTAAATTAGAGTTAACGATCGATCGAGAGATTGGATCTACCTAGTAAGTATCATCTACCTGTAGCAAGACCCGCTCTTCCAATATTGTCTAGTATATAGAAATAAACCTTAATTTGTTTCTATGATGATGTACTAAAAATTATTACAAGTTGAAGAATTTGTATAAAGTAACATAATTTATGAGGTAATAATAATACTAATAATAATAACAACACACACTATATCTAACATCACCCATTAGAGTATTCCCAAGATAATAATAATAATTATTATATAATATGGGTACCTTAAGGGTGGGATATCTTCTCCGTTTCATCATAGTGGATTGACACCAACCAATTTTTTAAAGCTTTTTTACAATTATGCCACTGTAGATGATAAATATTTATTTTTTTGTTTATTGTATTATACATACGTGCCGAATTCACTGCAAATGCCTATCAGCAAACAATGATTTGGAAATTGGCTGAGGAGCTACGATGTAATTTCTTCTACGGGAAATGTAACCTTCTAGTGGTAAGCGCACAGTTGCAGTGGCACAAAGATCTTAGGGTCACTGCCACTGCACCCTGTTAACCTGAGACATAAGTTGACACGTCCCATGTGCCTGTAATTCACCAACAACCTGACCCTTCAAAACAGGAACGCAGTGTACTCATATTACCGCTTGGCGGCAGATATAAGTACGGTGACAGTACTACCCTACCAGAACTCTTTCACAAGGGGCTCTACTGCTACTAAACTTACTCCGACAATTGTGAACTGATTTCAATGATTCTTATTTTTTAAAAAGGAGGTACAACCTCATTAGTGATTATATTTAAATTTGAAGAAGATATTCCACCTTTGAGGGTGGCAAATTAGGGAATTAACACTTTCCGTAAATCAACTTCAATAAAACTTAACATGTAATTAGACTTAGACTTAGATGTAATTGGACAATAATGGGATATAAAAGGAACTGACTGTTGAGGCAGTTGCTACTTTGTGTTTGAGCTCATATTATTCGTTTTGACGTTTAATGCAACGAACACAACGATAGCGGAGCTAACTTTTGAGGACGGTTTTGCAATAAAAAAATATTTATCTCTCGCTTGGATGATTTAAACCTCTTATACTCTTCGCTCATTTACTCACCCACTCACTCATTCATTCATTCGCTCGACTACTTAGTCACTCATAATAATACTATAGATAATAGCAGTAATATAATTAATGATTTGTAAGAATTACATATATGAGATAACACATTTACTCAACTTAAAATGACTTACGATGCAAAATACAAATAATCGAGTATATAGGTAACCAAAAATAGAGACGAAATATCATTTAATTTATTTGAAAACTATTCTGCCAAAACATTATGGTGGCAACTGCGCTCCGATTGGTCAGCCCGAATTCAAAACAATGGATGGGTGTCATCAATTGTTTCACTTCAAATCGATCAGTTTAACTTGAGCTTTACTGTAATGGACGAAAATTGCAAAATTACATATTTTATATTTAATTACCGATGAAAAGTAATTCCCTTTGTCTTGTAATTAGATGTTTTGCTGTTTTTTCCAAACCACTTTTTTTCGAATGGAACAGCCCCCATTGTTACGGATATTATTTTTATTACAATAAATGCAGAATATTTTTGGAATATACGGAGACGTATACGCAGGTCAATTGATGGCGCTGTAATTTTTCAGTTTTCTAATTTGCGATTTCAGCGCAAACGAGAGTTGATATTTAAAAGTGATATAAACCCCATTTGCTCGACGAGTTGCCAGGGATGGTTGGCCCTTATTTCGTCTCTATTTCTGGTTATAAACTCGATGGTACAAATTAATAAATTGGGAACATATATTTTTACATTAGATGCGTACCTTGAGTTCCAAAATCCGTACTTTCTGACGGCCTTTCAGCCATGATATTCATCCTTTGAACAACTGTTGTGATAAATATTTAATTAATTTTAAACAGGACTGAAAAGTACTAACAAAGTAAAATGAAATTACAATATGCCTCTGAAATTATAATACTTACCGTTCGTATTTTCCAACGCCGGAGGAGGCATTGCTGTAAGTAAACATGATAATTAATTATTTTTCATAATAGGTATTATAAGATTTTCTGCTTTCCTTTCATTTTTTCTGTAAATTATGAATTAAGGTTATAATCAGGCTATTTAAGCAGCTCCGTTGAAACTTTTTCTTTTTTTATGACAGGAAGAACAAGTAGTGCGCTTGGTGTTAAATAACATGCCTGTCCATGGCAGTTGTAGTGCCACTTTAAATCGCAAAGATCTAAGGGATACTGTCATTGCCTAATAATAACCACGCCTGTCATTCTGAAACATAAGTTAACATAAGTCTCATGTGCCTGTAATTTCACATAAGGATGATTTCAACGATGATTATAACGTTTATATTAAAACAAACTTTTTCCCATTGACAAACCTACGCAAAAGTGACACGTCATAGTTTTTAGCGCTCTGCTGAAGCCGTCGTTCATTTGCAATTCAAAACAGTGGAAACTACTCACGATACAACTTTATGGTTCCCTCGGTGTCGCCGAGTGAGTTTTTGGAGACACATTTGTACGTCCCATAGTCGTATGTTGAAACCCTCCGGATGGGAAGCCGCAGGACTGAACGATACGATGTATCGCTTTTCTGCTGCTCGTGGCTTATTTCTAAAACGAAATACTCTCTGTTGAATTGGTTTAGAAACGTGAGTTGTGCCTTTCACCTTCTTTTTTTAAATAATAATAATGTGCCAGACAATCACACCAATTGCCTGAATTTCCCTGTAATTTAAAAAAGCTCATTGCCTAAATCGATCCGACCGCGAATTGAACCCGTCCCTTTTCGGTTCGCCTCAGGTGGCCTTCATGAGTTACTGATCTTTAGATGAGACATGAGAGATATGAAATTTAATTTATTATTATTATTTAAGCTCTGGTCATCATCAGACCCTCGTGACTAACGTAGCAGGAAATAAGAATTAAATTACATAACGAGTTCTTAGGTTTTTGAGATTGTCACATATAGGAAATGAAACTATTTTTCGGAATTGAATCCCGTATATTTCTTTTCGAAATAAACCAACATTTCAGACTTTTTACATGTCTCATAGTCACGGTTGACTGAACTGACGTTGGTTTGTTGAAAACAACTAATGTACGCGGCTTATGTTACATAAAAAGTGCCCCAAATCTGAAAAGTAACCTAAATCTCTCTCTCTACACTCGTGGCTACGGTCGTATGCAAATACCGCCTAAATTATTAGTTTAAGTGCAATCTTACGGTTTGTGTTAGGCAATGGCACCAGAGACAACAGATTTGAGAGCGAAAGATCCTAAAACATACAAGGAACCATCTCGAAAACTACAAATTTCCAACAAAAAAAATAACGTAGTCAATTCAGTTCATCGATCTATGTTGCCACAGATCTATGATGTTGATGACACATACAGACAATAAAGAGATATGACATGAAAATTATAATACCCCTCCTTTTATAGCGGTCACAGAACAAACAAAAAAGCATGGTAACAAATATAATTATTATTAATACAAAGATCCAACAAAGAAAGAAAAATTCCTTCGATCCGATTTGATTCGAACTAGCGTCTGCCGCCAAAACGTGGCTACTTTGTGGGTCTTTATTTCTTTAATAGCCCCGTACTAGGGAAACCCTGTATCGCGGGTGCCATGGACACGCACATAGACAACCACAAATTACACCCAAACTCACGAGAGAAATTAATATAGGCCATACAAATAGGCCCGGATGTATGAATAACTAACTAGTGCAGTATTTTTACAAAAGATAGATTAATATCATGGTTTTATTTATAAAATATAAGTGCGCATTTGACCTGATGGAAAGTGACGATGTGGTAGACGATACCTATTCACTCTCGCCTTGAAAAAGCCCAAGTTATAACGTTCAGGGAACAAGTCTGCAGGCAGGGAATTCCACTCCATAGCCGTTCGCCATATAAATGTGGAAGCGTAACACATTGTGCGAATCTTTGAAAAATCCACAACATTGGGGGAGAACCCAAGTCTACGCCTAGTCCCCAGGTGTCGGAAAGCGGAATGCGGAATTAAATTGTGTAATTCCATCGCACACTCTCCGTGATATATCCTGTAAAATACCCATAAGCAGAACTTTACGGTGGTGTTCTGCAGCTTCGCCTCCACTAATGCCGAGTCACCTATAAGCCTCTTCGCACGATCGTCAATTGAATCCAAAGTGGCCAGTTGATATGTAGCAGAGCCATCCCAAAGGTGGCAGCAGTACTCTAAACCAGTCTCAAGTGAGAGGCGGTACAGGCATGTGAGAACAAAAGACAATTCATGCGCACAATTACACAAGACTATTGCTGGAATTCTATCTGGCCCGCTAGCTTTATACTTTATTTATTATATACTAGATTTCGCAGACTTCTAAGTATCTCTTTTTGGCGTATGCGAACTGGCGCCATAGTGAAGCTAGTCTGAGGTAAAGTAGGTGGTAGGTTCCCTGCGGCATTCAGACGCGAACTCCCTGCAAAGAGTGAGGCAAAAAGATTCGCCTTCTCTTTCGCAGTATGAGCCAGCGAGCCATCCGGCCTCAGCAGAGGTGGCAAAGATGGGCGACAATAGTTAGATTTAACCGCTTTGGCCAGGGATCAAAAGGATTTGCTGCCTGCTGGATAAGAGGCCAGCTTGGCCCCTATGCGAAGCACATAGTTGAACTTGGCCCTACGTAACACACTTTTGCTTTTCTTGGCGACCTTATTAACAGCTGGTAGTAAAAACATCATGATATTCATGATATTGGTGGTTATTTATAAAATGTTGTACCATTTACAAATCGTATCAAATAAAAAACCTCCAATAATATTAGGAATTATTCATAAAAAAAAATCGTTAAAACATACCAAAACTAAACTGACACTAAACAAATGACGGTAAGAAGGGGAGTGATATTAAAATAAAGTGAATATAAAACAGATGATGCGGGTAGAACGAGACAAATCAAGAGGGGAATGTCCCTTCTGCACTTGATCGTGATATTTGAACAACGACAAGGTGACAGCTTAAGATTTTAAGTAAATCTTCTATTTTTTTAGCATTTTAGATGTGTAAATATTTACGACGAGTATATAAATTCTTCCATCTATTACAATACTAGCGCATGTACAAATTAGTCGATGATTATTAGTCAATCTTGGCAAACTAGCAGACAATGGTGACCCGCAGGTGCAGTGAGTGATAACCTCACTAGACAATGCATTGATGGAATCATTAAACACTATACATAAATCCACACCTCCATCACGGGTTATCAAGCTTACGAACTATTGATAGGCTGGTGGAAGGGTTCTGTTTGCAGCCCCGCCTGGGTAGATACCACCCAGTATCTTATGTATTTGCAATACAGCACTGCTGTATGGCTAATTGGAGGGTAAAGGCATAGTAGTAAGACAAGTGTGGTAACTACATACAAACGTAGCAGCGCAGTTCGTATATGTGCGTGTGTGCCAGTTAAGGATGGTGCTGTGTGGTACGCGCCTTTGTGTGTCGAATGTGTGCGTCGGTTCGCGGCGTGCGGCGGGAGTGCACACATATTAACCGCGCTACTGTGTATGAATGCAGTTAGCATACTGTCTTGTCTTATTATATTATGGTATGGTAGATTTGAATCATGGAAAAGTTTCCATTTTGAAAAATTCATATTTCTCAATATAATAAATATTTTTTCGAATATTTTTCCTATATTTTTCCACAATTGACAGTTGACACTTGTCAGACTTGAAGACATTGAACGACAACGATAGCGCCATTATAAAGTTTCTTTTTCACCTATGATTCTTTTTTTACGCTATTGTCCAATCATTTAGAATCTCGTTTTACTCAAACTAGATTTTAGCTATACAACTTTATTTTATAATTGACGCTAAGAAAACTCGAAAAGATGTATCTAAATGTAAAACGTAATATGAGCGTTCCAATTATATATTATATATCTTCCCAATTTTACAGAATTTTTTCCGGAAAATTACCCAACAGTAGGTAGGGATAATTAGCGCATCTTTACAATCGGCAACGCATTTGCGATAACAAATATACGTACTTCTTTACATTGCAAATGTTTTTAATATGTCACTTTTCTTGACTGTATACCGTTAATACTTCATGTCATAATATTATATTTCATAAATATTTTTATATTTCACTGCTAGTAAAATCACTATTAAAAAATCGACATTGTTATTTTTTTAAGTTACCCACAAACACGTGAAAAAACTTTAAAAATTGTTCTTGTATTCCTACAAAATGAAAAGTATGACAATAATGATATTCAGTCGTGTAATGCTGACAAAAACAATACCGCTGGTCTTTTTAAGACAGTAAAAACAGTCTACAGGGTTATAATCTTATATCATTTAGGAAAATGTACTTTGTACATAAAACTATAAATGTTATACAACTACAAAATTCTGTAAAACGTTACGTAACTTCAAGATTTTGTAAAGTTCACAGAAACAGTATTTTTTATAGCGAAGCACGGCACAATATTTCACTTGAAATACACCATTATTATAATAGAGTATAACATAACATTAGAATATCACAAAAGTTACGACGAATCAACATGCATTTTAAATTGTGTAACAACGTAAAAAGTGCTATCAAGCTTTTTCTGTGACAATAAAAATGTTATTTACTGAAAAACTGTTTTGACGAATTTTAAACATTACGTGAACACAGACGAAGCCATACAAATAAGTAATAAAGTAATAAATTCACCAAAACACATTGTTTACCATACATACCTATATATAGCTTCGATTTATAATTTCGTCTTTGTTAGCGAAGGCTTCTTTTGTTATTATTTTGTTTGAATGATTTATTCAGTGAACGGTTCAAAAGCGTAATTTTTCTTTCATGTGAAATTATATTATGTACAGTCAGCTAGAATTGTTCATTATAACTTTACATCCATAGACGTTTCTTTGAGTAAATATAACCCTAATTATTTTCTTTTTTAACCGACTTAAAAAAAGGAGGACGTTGTCAATTCGACTATATGCCTTTTTTTGTATGTATGTTACGCGATAACTTTGTGAACCGATTTTGATGATTCTTTTTTGTTGGAAAGAGGGTATATCAGCAGTGGTCCCATTTAAATTTGAAGAAAATATTCCACTTCAATGGATGTAATTCCACGAACTATTTGAGTTGGTTTTTTTTAGTACTCTGTACTCACGTCGTACACTCGTAGATTATTATGATACCAACAAAGGACGAACAAGTCGTGCCCCGGGTAGTAAGCAACACGCCTGTGCATTACAGTTGAAGTGCCCCTCAGAGCTTTAAATCGCAAAGATCTGAGGGGCACTGCCACTGTGTCTGTCACCCTGAGACATATTATTTAATTTTAAATTCGGGACTTAATCGTGTATAAAACATAGTTTAGATTAGTGTGCCCGGAAACATAAGTTGACAAGTCCCATGTGGTTGTAATTTCACCAGCACCCTTACGCTTCCAAACCGAAACGCAGTAATAAGATGGCAATACTTTCACATGGAGCTCTACTGCTTCTAAAATTCGTCGTCATCAATTGAAATAATACTTATGAAAATCTTACCAACTGGAACTATTTCACCGCTCTCTCTACTCCAGTAACTAACTGGTTTCGGAAACGCTTCTGTCTCGCACTCCAGCACGAGGTCTGAACCAATGACTGCTCCAACAAGCTGGTTTCTGATTGTTATGACCGGTGGAACTAAAGTATAAAAAAAATCTCATTAGGCACGAGCATTAACATTTTTATATATACATCTTGAAATTGAAACTAGTGAAAGTGTTCTTACAAAAGCTGGGATGCGAAGTGAGAAGAAAAAGTGTGTAAAAAGTATTGCGGACCAGCTACTGGACGGGGCAGATATAAATCTTTTTAGTAATTTTATATTTTTCTATTACTCATTGTTTATGTGTCTTTTTTTAAAACATCAAGTGGCGGGACGCACGAGTCGTGCGCCTGATGGTAAGCTACACGCCTGTCCATAACAGTTGTAGTACCACTCAGAGCTTTAAATTGTAAGATCTGAGGGGCACTACCACTGCTCCCGTCACCCTGAGATATAAGTTGACAAGTCCCATGTGCCCGTAATTTCACCAACACCTTGACCTTCAAGACCGGAACACAGTAATGCTGACATTACTGCTTGGCGGCAGAAATGTGGTAGTACTACCCTGGACGAATTCTTTCAGAAGGAGCTTTGCTGGTACTAAATATCATGTAAAGATATTTTTGCCTACGGTGTGTTCTTTTCTGGTTTTCTGCTTTAGCTAGTTTTTCTCTAAATTATAATTTTATTTTTCTTTATTTTGAGCCTGATTTAACCACTACACCTCAACAAAAAGATTCAAGAATGTAAGGGAAGCAAGACAGATTTGTCAGGATCGTGCTAAGTGGCAATCGGTAGTCTCTGCCTGCCCCAGTGCGAATCTAAGGAAGTAAATATTTAAACTGAAACCCTCTCGAAGCGTGTCGAATATCTACACATACACTTACATATATAGATGCATAGATTTATTGTGTATTTAAAGTTCCAGAGTTCACACTAAACCCAACTACGTTCGCCCAACGAGGTTTGGGGAATTCACGCGTATTTGAAAAGTTCCATGATCCCGCATTAAATATATACTCTGATCCGAGAATAACTAAATGATGAAGGCCGTCCAGTAGAAACTGAACCTAAAAATTCGTATGTAGAAGGAACACGTTTTCCAACTAAACTATCAATCACGATAACTTAAAAACACGATTATCTTTCAGTACTATAAGGAAAATAATTCAAAAAGCAGTGCACAATTAGTTTAATCCTATTTTGAATACTAACTATCACACTCAATCCACAACACAAGCTCAACTACAGTCACAGATACCACTACCAAAAATGTACCCAACACGTGTTTCGCCTTTCTACGAGGCATCCTGTGTTGATTGTTTGACGCTCGGTTGAAGAACGTTTAAATGAATTTCAAATTAATCTACATCCATTTTTATCAAATTAATATAACTTCCATTTTTATTAATATGCTTCTGCAAAGTAACGTCTGAATCTATTAATAAGACATTAGACATATTATATATTAGACAACATCACATACGTTGTTCTGATCCCAAAGTAAGTAGCTAAATACTTGTGTTATGGAAATCGGAAACAACGACGGTACTACAAACAGCCAGACCCAAGACAATATAGAAAAATTAGTTTCTACACTAACCCGGCCGGGGATCGACTCCAGGACCTCAAAGATGGTGAAACCGGTGGTGAAACCGGTGTGCAAGCTACTCGACCACGGAGGCCGTCATCAATCGACATTAAAAGTGGAACTATTGATATAACTAACCATGATATATGTATAGATCACGGAACGTTGGTTTGTTTGAAAAAATAAACATACACAATTTTAAATACGAAACAGTGGAGTGCAAGAAAGGAACCTCCACATGTGACGTACCATTCCTGTGCTGTACGTCAGGCACACCCTGGGCCAATCCTTTCACCACGTTAGTAATCATTATAGTGTATGCCATCGGTACGATAAGAAGAAGAATACGAAAAAAATTGTTTCATTTCCAACATAAAAGGCATCGAAATGTCTAAAACTACGACAAAATGTACCTAACAATAAATAGAAATGGCTCATTCCATAATAAAAAGTTAGTGTTGCTAAGTACACTCTACGAAAGGCGGCTGAAACGTAATCTCTTTGACTATTTCCAATTCAAAAATGACGCTGACCACTATCGTGCGGTATTCGTTATTTATTCTATTTTCAAAACATTCTTTTGTTTATTATGTTTCACTTTGTATTCCTCACAAAAGAAGGCAATACTCCTTTCAAGATTAAGCAACCAATATTACTAGTGTTTTGTGACTGTGAAAGACAGGCCTTCGATTATGTCATTTTCGATTTGGCCGCGAAAGCCTCCAAGACGATCATCGCAATGGGAGGCCTGTTTCCGCGGTCACCGATGAAAATGTGGCGAAAACAAAAAATATATTTTAGAACATCGGCGAATTAAACAGTGGAAGATGGCACATGATGTTAGCATTAGCAAAGTAAAAGTGTACCAAATAAATCATGAACGTTTAGGTATGTCTAACATACCTAACAAAATAAATCAAAAAATCTTTGAAACATTGAACGATGCGTTCAATGTTCCAAGGCATTTATAGAAATGAGCTTAAAGTATGGAGGAAGAAACTATGTCTAGAATACTGACATCTGATAGTTAAGGCTGAGATGCCTCCTCGCAAGTTTAAGGTGCGTCCACCAACAGGCAAACCAATGTCAACGATTTTTTTGGGATGCAAAGGAAGTTTTATTTATAGATTATTTACCTAAAAATACCACATTGAATACTAATTATTATGCTAAACTGTTAAGTCAACTTAGAGAAAACGTAAAAGAGAAAATAAGCGGCAAATTAAGCAAAGGAGTTCTAGCCTAGCACGATAATGCTCCTGTGCACACCGCTCGAATAGTGAAGCTTGCTATGACTGAAAATGACTTTGAAACTATAGACCACATACCTTGCAACCCCGACTTAGCAGCATGTTACTACTTTTTGTTCAGACATTTAAAGAAAGACTTGAGAGGGCGCATGTTTTTACCGATGAAGAAATGAAGTCCTCGGTCATTGATCTTTATTGCAAAGTTAATAAATGCATTTCCCTTGCAGGAGACTATATTGAAAATTAAATAATCTCAGTACAATAACTGTGGAATGAAATCGGTTACGGGAAAGTGCACGAAACCGGATCCATCCCCTAGTTAGAGGATGGATTATATTTTCTTCAAATTAAAATGGAACCACTACCGAGCTAATCTTACGAGGTACATACACTAACGGTCTAAAGGTTTCTTTCCAACAAAAAGGAATCATCAAAACAAACACACAAAAAAGAACATACAGTCGAATTGAGAACCTCCTCCTTTTTTGAAGATGTTCAAAAAAAAGTATCCATGGTCGTATTTTATTTCATACTTAGGTAGATTACTTTTCAGCCGCCACTCTTACATAGTAAATTTCTTTTATTATAGTATAGTTTTCAAACTAGATTAGTGTTCGTGACTAGAGTGAGTACACTTTCAAATAGTAAAAAATAACAAAATTCTAAACTGTTGATTTTTGTGAAATTAATGTTTTTTTTGAAATGGATCGTTACGGTGCCCCCTACATTAGAAAAAAAAATAAAGAGTCACTCACATTCAATAGTGATCATAATTCTCTTGCTAACAGTAGGAGGAACTCCGTTGGAAGCGATGCACAGGTAAGCCCCAGCGTGCTGCCTGCTCACTCGGCTTATATTTAGCACAGGGCCTTCGTATGACGTCACTGAAAGGAAAAATGTTCTATCAACTGCACAACGTTAGCAACTTACTACGTACCTACATACTTTTGGACAATGATGCTTTTTCAGTATTCGAGTTTTAAGCAGTGTGGATGACACATATGAAACTGATGGAGTGTTCATTGTAACGTAATCATACGTTAAAGAAAATCTTAATTGATACAAGCAGTTTGGAATACAACTGTAGGCATTTCAAACTTCTCCATCCTTAACCTGTTTCAACATGACCCTTTCAATTAGTAGACTAAATTATTAAAATTAATCAAGAAACGTAAATCCGAACACGTTTATGTTCTTGATTAATTTTACAACTTTAATTTTATAAAAAAAAGTGACCTTATTCTGCTCCCATAAATTAATTTAAAACATCTACGATTTAGGTTTCCTAGTTGCATGAAATAATACATGCATAAAATTAATGAAGCAAACATTCCACATAATCGATCCTTATAACATTGTGATCCCTTCGTAATATACAATAATGCGCTGTCTGCCTAAACAATTTAAGTCCACAATTTATAATTCCTCAGTAAAGCCACGCCAGAAAATGTATGGTGGTGAAATGAATATTAAATTAAAAGAATTACAAAAACAAAATAAAATCACCACACCGCTAAAAAGACCTTCGTTCTCGCTAGTATCACCAAAAAATACCACAGGTGGTACCAGAGGAATTTTTTTTCCATTAGCACCACCTTCCCAAATGAAAATTCACATGGTTAGTAGGCAAGACATTGAATTTTTAACTAATATTAAACTGACGACTGTTGATCTCTCCATTTAACGTCTACATTATGTTTACTTATTTAAAATTATTTATAGAAAATGAAACTATTTTTCCGGATTAAAATCGCGTATATTTGTTATCGTATCGGAGTGCTTAGATATTAAGTTAGTTGTTGTTTTTAATATCTTGGTGGTAGGGTCTTTCTTCACCTTTTTATACGTACTTTCATCCGATAGTAAGTCAGTTATTTTGCTGTTATAATCTGACGTATTCATGACCACGGTCGCGTTACCTTTATCTGCACAGAGGATGACTAATTCAGGATCTGCGCGCAAGGTCTTCAGCGCGTTATATTCATCTCGAGTAAGATTCGGTCTGGGCTGTTTATTTGAACGCAATATTGACGAAAAGTCTTGGCGTATTGCCTCCAAATCTTCCTTTCTCATGTGATTTTAGTACTAAGATCCAATTTACCATGGAACAAGAGAATTGTGGTTCTTTAGCTTTCTTAGATGTTTTAATTAAAAGAAATCCTAATAACACCTTAGGCCATACTGTATTTCGAAAGAAAACCCATACAGATAGGTATCTGAATGGTAATTCCCATCACCGTCCTAGCCAGTTAGCTACCGTGGGCAAATCTTTGTTTCAGAGAGCATATGGTGTCTGCGACAGTAATCATCTGGCAGGGGAACTTCAGCATATAAAGCAAGTCCTACATGAGAATAAGTTGAAGATTCCACGCCAATGCCGCAGGCCCCGTGTAAAACCACCAACAGTCGAGCAAAGACCTGCCATCTTACCTTACGTGTGAGGTGTTACAGACAAGATCGGAAGAGTCCTCAGGCGTGCATCTATCAAGACCTATTTCAAGCCCCTGAGGAAGATTTCTCAGTTCCTGAGACCCGTGAAATGTAACATCCCCTTACAGGATGCAGGAGTTTACAAGCTTGACTGTGAGTGCGGTTTCTCTTATATTGGACAAACAAAGCGAATTATTTGTACCCGCATTAAAGAACATATAGCTGATGTCAAACACCGTCGCGTAAACAAGTCTGCAGTCTGCGAGCATGTCATGGTTAAACCTACACATTCAATGAAGTTTGACCAACCCCAAGTCCTTGCAAAAGAAGTCCGTTATCTACCCAGGATGCTGCGAGAGGCCATTGAAATTAAAAAACATCCTAATTTCAACAGGGAAGATGGTTTCTCCGTACCACCAGTTTGGGATCCAGTATTTCCTCTAATGAAAAATCCCAAACAGACATAAGACTGCAGTACTAATTAATATGTTTTAGTTTATTCTAATTTCTATTAATAATTAATAATAAATTAAACTTAATAAAAATTCATTCAATAAAATAATATGTTGTTGTACTTAATGTAGCGTAAATTGGAATGTTTTCTTTGTAAAATTAAAATTACGGTATTTAATTAATAACTATTGTAACTATAGTGAAAAAATAGGGTGGTTTGCATTAATATTAGACATAACTGGTTGAAGACTGTACCACCTCAGTCAACCGTGAACATGGGACCTGTAAAGGGCCCGAAACGTCGGTTTGTTTGAAAAAACAAATATACGCGATTTGAATCCGAAAAAATAGTTTCATTTCCTATGTGTAACAATCGCGAAAACCTAAGAACTCGATAAAATTATTTAATTTCAATTTTTTTTTTCATGTCAAGAAAATTTATTAATGTTCCAGATTAACAAATTTTCTTTTCATTATTGTAAGCGCTCATGTATGTGACATTTATCTTAATGAGAATAAAGTAACATTAAAGATAAAGTTGAATTAGGGCGTATTGTACAAAGTACCCGACCGGAGCACGAACCGAAAGGCGTTCAGTGAGACTGCCCCCTACTAGATTGACGGATGACCTGGTAAGGGAAGCAGGTAACCGATGGATGAACGCCACGTCCGATCGACCAGTCTGGAAATCTTTGGGGGAAGCCTATGTTCAGCAGTGGACGTCTTCCGGCTGATATGATGATGAAGATGATGCACAAAGTACATACATAAAGAAATGACTTTAATGAGTTAACTTACATGTATCAAACAACGTTTAAACCACTGTCAAACTATACCCAAATGAGGACAAAGACACATAGCGTTACTGCCCAATTCTCCTCATTATCGACGACGAAATTTCTGAAGTAGACCGGGAGACAAAGAACTGTCCCAAAACCATTCAGTAAGATAAAATCTGGGTCATAACAAACTTTTCAATGAATATGTGGACAGTAAATGCCTAATAATATAAAAAATAGAACAAAAAACTATTCATTCATGTCTCAATACATTTCTTGTAAAAAATGTTTATTATTCAGCCTCAGAGTTCATGTACAATAGTGATCTCTAACAATATGATCTCGATTTATAATCCTATATTTATATTTAGTAACCTAATGCAAACATATATTTCCATGACGGAAATAATATTACAAGTTATTATGTGGGGCGCACTATAGGTTTCCGAAATGAATAAGAAAAAAATATTATAAAATGGTCAGAAATGAATTTATTATTGCTAAAAATGCACTTTTTCATGCGAATGAACCAATTTTGAAAACATTTATGCCACTCCTCCGTGAGAATCTCTGAAACATATTTTTTATACTCTTCGACAGTCTTTTCAGGTGATGAAAATCGTTGACTGCGTAATTGGTTCTTAATGTTTGGAAACAAATAAAAGTCACAAGGTCGTGACTGTACGCCGGATGGCTCATAAGGTCAACGTTGTTTACCTTCAAAAATTCATTTGTCTGTCTGGCCGTGTGAGAACTGGCATTATCGTGGTGCAAGATGATACGGCGTTTACGGTTATTTATACGGAGTTTGTCAATAACTTCCGGCAAACAAATGGTCGTGTACCAATCACTATTCACGGTACAAAAATTCCCCAAAGCAATAGTAGCCACGTGTCCAGTTTTATTTAAAAAAGAAGCTCATCATCCGCTTAAAGGCACTTTGCACGCGCGCCACTTTTTCATTGATTGATTTCGGCTCATCTCGAAAGAGCTATACGCTCGATTGCTGCTTTGTTTTGGGATCGTAATTATAAATCCATGTTTCGTCACCTGCTTTGCAAATTTGACGCCCCTTCGTTGAATCTGGTAAGCATGGTATTGCACCAAGTGACGCGATCCGTTTTTTGATCCTCAGTCAAATTGTGTGGGATCCACCGAGAGCACAACTTTTTCACACCCAAATGTTTGTATAGTATTGATTGTATTTGATTGTATTTACATTTATATAAACGATGTTTTATTCTATTCAATGGGCACTACACTAAATCAATAAATAAAAATAAATGTTTCTCATACCTTGTGTTCCGTCAGCCAGCGTAATAGGTTTGGAGTGTTCTCTGCGCCACGTGACTTGTGGGTGTGGCGAACCACTTGTAGCACAAGTCAGGCTTGTGGCCGTCCCTTCACGCAGCGTTTGGTCCGTACTGGTGCCACGATCCAAGATATCAGGTGGCACTGTAGCAAAATAAGTAAAGTCAACAAGAGCTGAGGTCTTGCACTTTTTCTATGAAACCCCGTGAGTGGACGAACAAGTCGTGAGTGACACGCTTGTCCATAGCAGTTGCAAAGCCACTCAGAGCTTTAAATCGTAAAGATCTGAGGGGCATTGCCACTGCGCCCTTCACCGTGAGTCATAAGTTTATAAGTCCCATGGGCCTGTAATTTCACCAGCACCCCTTACCCTTCAAAACCGGAACGCAGCAATGGTCACATAACTTACATAAAACAGGTAAGGTGGCACTACTTCCCCAGATGAATTCTTTCACAAGGAGCTCTACTGCTACTATGATCTATGATACCTTTATTCGTCTTATTGTAAGTAGCATATACTTCAATTTAAATACTATAAGTAAAGAAGAACATGTGAACATGTGAACTTACGTATACTAAAAGAAACTTCAAATCTAAAACGCTACATTGTGTACATTTACTATGCGGATTAATGTTTATCAGCACGCTAAAACCGTACTCGGTTGAGCGCAGTTGTATGGGTACATTATGGTTTTTACTGAAAGAGACAGTTTACCATTTAGGACGATGTAGAAATGTAAAAAATATTTTACGATGTTATACTGTAATTTTTTTTCTTTTATCATTAACGTTAACTGCCTCCGTGGCCGAACAGTTACCATATGTCATATATCATTCCGTGCCGGGATAAATATTTGTATGACCTACATTTATTTCTGTCATGAGTTTGGATGTAATTTGTGCTTGTCTATGTGTGTTTCCATGGCACCCGCGATATAGAGTTTCCCTGGTGCGGGGCCATAGCCCCAAATAAAACAAGTAGGTGTAAAAAAACAAAATTTGTATCAGATGACATTTAAATAACCGCCAAGTAACCTTTATTAAACCATATGTTTAGGTTCCGCCTATAGTTTTCTGTTTTGAAGTGTCAAACATTGTATTTTGTAGGGTATATAAAAGCTCACCGTTTATCATATTATGGCGATAAAAGAAAATTCGAAATGTCATTTCATTGTAACAAAAATTTAGTTTGACTCTGTTCCTCTTTTAAAAAAAGTAACGCTTTTTGCGAGTTTTGCATCTAAAAAAAACTGAAGTGTAAATAAATTGAGAATATTTGGTTTGATGATGATAAGCGTTTTTATTTTTCTTTGATTAATAAGGCAATAAAATTGAAAAAAAGTTATGTGAAAATACGAAACGATTTATATAGATGCTCACAAGTCTCTCAGTCCGTGCATTTTAATTTTTTCATTTAAATATTTTTTAATGCGACGACATTTGTCAATTCGTGGGGTTCAGGAAAATAGCGTCCCCGCAACGTCGTACCATTCCTTTCCTGCACGTCTAACGCGTCCTGGGTAACAATTTCATTCCGTAGCTTAGTTGGGAGAGCGTCGGCTTGGTATGTTGAAGACGCTGGTTCGAATCCTGCCTGTGTTCGATCTTTGAATTAATAATAAAAAATAATTTGTTTCAGATAATTATAATCCATATTTGCATAACCATAATATTTAAAATTTAAAAAGAAAAATGGATTAAAATCTATAGATGGTTAGTGACATAAATACCTACTTATGATCTAAATGTTAGTAATGACATGCAAGTGACAAGCGCGGTTTACGTAAGGACAGTTGGAGCTGGCCCGTACCCTGCTCACCAGTGCCGATGCGTTTGCGCATGATAGTGTAGAAGCAGTCAACTTGCGCCGCTACGAACATGCCAACGGCGCTGCAGTACCGGGGTAGCCCCATCAACATTCTAAATGCGTTATTTGTATTGGACACGGAGGGCACCATACGAATTTTGTGAGTACGTCCCCCACAAGCTACACGTGTAGAAAGATATACAGAAAGTCCTGAAAAGTGTAAGTTTAACTGCAGGTGAACTACGAGCAAACCTACGGGCGGCTCCCTCTCTATGTCATCGTAGACCTTGAGATCGCTTGGGACCAGATGGCCAAGATATTCAAACTGCTCGTCTCTATCAGAGGAATAGTGTACATGCCATCGATACGCTACAGACAAACCACACTATCAACTCACCGACGACGTCCAAATACCCTAGTTGACTCTTCATAGGGTCCGTATTAATCTGACACATGTACCACCCTCTGTCAGTCTCTCTCAGCTCTCTGATATGTAGGAACCAGGTTCTATGATCACTATGTGTAACCCCAACTCTTCTGCTTCTTGATATTACGTGCGTGTGGATGGTGAGGATGGTCTGTGTGTCTACTCTCAGCCACGCGACCTGGAAAGAAATAGACATTAAAAACTGTCTGATTGGTCAGGAAATTTTTTAACGACGAAGAATTTTTGTGACGATGTTGTAGATTGTAGATGTTTGTATCACGCATGCTCGAGTATGCTCGCGCATTCCGCGGCATCATATTGATCATAAAGTTCATTATTCTATGTACAGTATCGTTACAAAAATTCGCTTTCATTCCGTTCCGCCGCAATTGAGCCTAATAGTATGTGGGCTCCGGCTTATATTAAAAAATAATCATGCACATTTCACCTTTATCTCACCTGATGGAAAGTGATGATTAGGTCGACGATAGAGCATACACAACTAAATAATGCATATTCACTCTCGCCTTGAAAAGGGCCAAGTTATAGCGTTCAGGGAATAAGTCTAGTCCATAGTTATTGGCGATCTTAATGAGGAAGCGTCCTTATCTGTAGCTATACTAGTGATGCATGTTAAAACACGTGTACCATAGACAGGGTTACCAATTCCCGTTTTGTGTAGTATTTGATAATATGAATAAAAGGACCAAGGATGAAATTAAAGGTCATCATGTTCAATAAAATACTCCGTCATTATAATATTAGTGACGATGTTTATTAATCAAATAAGTAATTTAATACGCAACATATAATAGTCCTTAATTGAAGCCAATGGAAAGTACTTACTTATTTCACAATGAACAAAAATAAAATGTAATAATAAAAATAAATGAAAAAATACATTTTTTTATTATTTTGTACTTGGTATTATAAATTGTTATGACTAATATCAGGTTTCTTACCACGGTATGACTTCTTTTTATTTTCCCGATATTTGGGAACGGTTGCACGCTCCGTGGTCACGGGTTGACTAACATACCGTGCTAAGCAACCTGATATTAGTGATAATCATTTAGTGAATAACCACGAAAGTATTAAAATCTTGGTATTATATTTTGCTGCTTTAAGAGCTTTTTCGTTTTCTATAAAGAAATTGTAAAATTCTTTTCATTGCATGTTGAAGTTCGATTTTACTTGTAGTTCTGCTTTCACAGCTTCAACATCTTATTTTTTAACTGCTTCCGCGGCCGAACGCCGCGCTTGACTGCCACACAGAGGTCCAGGAGTTCGATTCCCGGGCCGAGAGAAATATTTGTATGGCCTACAAATATTTCTCATGTGAGTTTGGGAGTAATTTGTGGTTGTCTATGTGTGTGTCCATGGCACCCGCGATACAGGGTTTCCCTAGTGCTAGGGGCTAAACAGGAAAAACAAAAAACTTATCTCGGTCCAAATAATGTATTTGGTAGCGGCTAAATAAAGGATGAAGTATGGGCCCTTATTCTTGATTTCAAAATAAGGGACAAGATTCATTTTTTGTCTGAAAACATTTAAAATAAAGAATCTCTGGCAACCCTAAACATAGATTAAGTATTTCCTAGCAGCACACAAATATTTAAAAATCCTTGTAGTAGAACGTACTAATTTGCTTCACCAACAAACAATTTTTTTTTATCATGCATATTTATATATTGTTGAGAAAATTCTGATTCGCTGGTTGTACACTTTCACAGTCGGGTAGTTACAAGCAAATAAGAGCTTTTGATGAGCTATTTAATATAAATATTTGATATTGTTAATATTCGTAGATAATTCACGTGCTTTCTAGAAAATCTGTGAATCTACCAAATACGATTTTAGAAAACATTTTTTTAAACACTCCTTTGAAAATTACCATTTAGATGACAAGACTGTATCAATACAGGGGACCCCTCTCATATCGCAAAAAAAAATGAGCTGTCCCATAAATTTGGATCCAGTAGATACGTACACATTTACATTGTAGGGGTTACAGTTATATTTTTTTCGCAGCTCAAAGAGATTGCCATAGTAAAAATTGGTTTATATAGATAGTACATTAAACTCTTAAAATACTATATAAAAAAGGAAGTAACATTTTAGGACTTGAACTCAATAGTAAATTTAGTTCATTTGCAAAATACATGAGCAAAAATTCCCTTCACATCTTCCGTGTTAATCAATAAAAGTCAGCTAAAACAATATATTGTGCACCTGTAATAAAATTCACTTACAACCACACAGTGAACTGTGTACCAAGAAAATGGTAACAAATAAATCGTATGTGTCTGAAAGCAAAATGTTCGAGGAGTTAAAGCTAAGCACGTAGTCAGAGTTACCAAGTTACAGAGTTGCCGTAAGAACAGCTTCCTGATTTTATTAAATATCCAAGGTTCTCGAATCCGGAGACTGGAAGCTTGAAGAAGTACGTTTCGAGAGGATTACCTTTGCTTTTTGTAAAAAAACAACTTTCTTTCATTATATGCAGTCAATAGATCTTATAGTTTTATATTTAGGATTTAAATTCAATCGTAATAAAAACGTAACGTTTAAAATGTAAAGCTGTGCATGCTATTGACTTTACAAAACTTACACTTTGCGTTTTTCTAATAAATATTTTTTTTGTCAAAATAATATGAGCCTGGAAAGTGTTAAAAGATAATTAAATATTTAATATGAATCATTTCAATAACTTTTAAATGTTTTTTTCTAACATTGTGAGTATAATTTATGATTCAATCAAAAGTGCACCTTAAATTCGTGCGATTAGTATAATTTTAACGAGATGTCAGAATAGTTTTAAGCATTATAAATGCTCTATCTATTTTGACGCTGACTCTACACTGTAACATTGAACAAAAATCTGCATTGGTACAGATTGATTTCTTTGAAACAAAATTGAGACTTGCTACCATGACGATACCCAATACATTAAAACGGCTCTTTCTAACAAATGGAACATCACATATAAAATAATGAATACCTTAACAATGTTTCACGTATCAAAACGTAAAAAAAACAGTAAAGAAAGAACTGAAAACAAACGACAATCAATATCTTTGACGTACGTTCATTGAAAATCAGTTCGCGTTCCGTACATATATTTTACGAAGCTAAATAGCAGTCAGTCAGGCAAAATAGGTCAGGTTTACCAGGTCTAGAAACCATTTGTATAACATTAACAGTTCAACGTCGACTGCCGTATATAGTATGTAAGATTTTTAACTGAATAAGGTACGAGGAAAAGGATTTGGGAGTGCAACGAAATTTATTTGTGCATGCAAGTTATTGATTTGTAAGTCTACAGCCGCGTACCTTCGACATGTGTTTTTATTATAGTAACCTCCCTATCAACCTCTTAGTTATGCGGGAAGGGCACTATAACCTGTACTTGCACAGGGATAACCCTGTACGCAGCCCGTGTACAGGGTAGTCACAGACTTCATCCAGGTCTCAAAAGGTTAGATGAGCCGCCCCGGGTGCACATACAGTATCCTCCCTATTTTCCAGGCACCGGACCTGTAGGTACCTACTGTAAGTCTACAAGGTCAATAGTCACCATCGACGAAAATCGTAGTTTTTTTATGACAAATTATACAACGCCCCTACCGGTCACGAGAAAAACTATAATTCTATTTAATTTTTTTACGCATTTTCTAGCTACTCCACTCGTGGTAACGGTGCTGGCCTCGACTAAGGCTGACTTTGCAGTTTTATTGAATACTTTTCTATAAACAACCTGCTTAAAATAATTTAGTGTTGTATAGTTCAACTCGTAAGCTGCCGTTCACACATTACTTGTTACACGGGTTATACAGTCACCTGTATTTTATATACGATATATACGATACCAATTAACGGGACGAACAAGTTGGGTGCCTGGTGTTAAGCGACACGCCTTTCCATAACAGTTGCAGTGCCACTCAGAACTTTAAATCGCAAAGATCTGAGGGACAATGCCACTGCGCCTGTCACCTTGTGACATAAGTTGACAAGTCTCATGTGCCTGTAACTTCACCAGCACCCTTACTCTTCAAAACCGGAACGCAGTAATGTTCACGTTACTGCTTGGCGGCGGGAATAGGTATGGTGACAGTGCTTCCCTGGACAAGCTGTTGCACAAAGAGCCTACTGCTAGTAATCCGCAGAAGCATCTTGTATATGTATAAAATTCTATCCCGATTTACCCAACATTTATTCCATAGAAGTTTTACAATAAGAGCATCATATAACGAAAACAGTATACTAAATATGCTATATATAGACGAACAAAAAATTGAATTATCTACCATTTCCTTCAATTTCATCACACTCTGGGGCATCGTGCTCAGGAGACTGACAACGTTTCACCTTTATATAGCTATTCTTTGGCGCAAGCTATTATCATTCTAGTTGCCGGAGGCTTCAACGAAGCAACTGAAAGCTCGTGACAGAGCACAGTCGCCTATGGCCCCCCAATCATTATTATTATTTATATATCAGCATTTTTTATAATCATACAATATATGTGTTCCTAAAATAGCATATTATCGAGTTTCAACAAGCGTTTCAAAAATGCACACGTCTGTAAAATGTTTCTTCTGCAAATCGCAAAGAATTTAAATTGATCGATCCGTAGCAATCCGTAGCAAATCTGTGCCTTACATTCAAACAAGAAAACGAACAACACTGAAGATCCCACTCTTCGTCTATTGGAATTAGGTAAAAACTTTTTCAATCACATTTACTTCAGTGATCAAAAGACGAAAACCAAAGGGAATGAGAAACATCGTATCTAGCCATTGCCTGGTGAAGATTAGTTACACGGCGAAATCACTTGAAGGTTATGGACTTTGACGGAAGCTTTTGTACAAACAACATTCATATTTAAAGATTAAGTTGGATATGGTTTGTTCAGTCATTGAAGAGGAGTATATTTTGCATTACCAATTTTAAGAATGCCTGATAAAAACGAATACTATGGAAAAAAATCACAATCGGCACCCTGTGGCACCCCATCTCTAGACCTGTTACATACTATTTCGACTACAACTATTGTTTGTGCCACATGTGGAGCAAGAAACTAAAGAACTGTGAATTTCACTTCTGGTGTCTTTATCAACTAAATTCTGGTGGCTCCCTGTACTGGACCCGAGAATTTTATACAAAATAAATAAAGTGTCTTATGACTATAAGACACTTTATTTATTTTGTGGTTTTGAGTCACGTGCTCTATGGGAGGATTTATGTACCTAATACTCATTTATTTACTTGCAATTATAAATTAATCTTAGAAGTCCACTATTATTATTATTACTATAAAGTATCTTTCATAACATTTGTATTTTCACAACTTTGCGTCACACCAGACTGTAGCATGGAATATTTGAACACACCCTATAAGAAGAAAGATTGTGGACTGTACAAGTGTACAAGTATCTTATAGTCGGTTTTGAGTCACGTGCTCTATGCGAGGATTTATATATTTAATACTCATTTATTTACTTGCAATTGTAAATTAATCTTAGAAGTCCAGTATTATTATTATTATTACTATAAAGTATCTTTCATAACATTTGTATTTTCACAACTCTGCGTCACACCAGACTGTAGCATAGAATATTTGAACACACCTTATAAGAAGAAAGATTGTGGACCGTACAAGCCAGAATGGCTTCCCTCCCAAGAGGCGCCGTCACATTGGCAATAGGTCCACTAAATCCAGGCTCATCTGAAACAAGAAAATAATTTGTTATGTTCTACTGTATAGCTAGATTTCTACACATGCGAAGATATTTGATCCAATTCTATACTGCAAGAGTACTATGGTCTATAAAATTATCCATTAAAACAGAATGAATATCGAGCCATACGACGAAGTTATAGTATAGAGTACAATCACTTATTTAGTCCCTGTAAGGTCATGCCAATAGAAAACAAGAGCAGATATTTGATAGTGTTGGAAAATTTACTCGAGTCATACTTATAAAGTTAGGCTAAAGAATACATAGGGCACACTATATGTAAAATGTAGGTTAAAAGCATACCTCTCCAAGTAATTTTTATATTATATTTAGTAAGTACAATTAATACTGGGTAATGTTATAAAATACACAGTAAAGTAGGTATAATTAAGTAATAGTGCACATGTCGCCAACAAACTGCACAGCAGTTTGGCGACTTTTAGTAAATAAGTTGCCTGCTGTATTTTTCTTGAAATAAATTTTAAAAAAAAGTTACTCTACTGATATAATAGCAGAAATAGGGTACTGCTTAAATAACAATCTGTGATAAAACTATTTAACCTATTATTATACTGAATAAACTGCCTCCGTGGCCGAACGGTTACCATACCGGACTGCCACGCAGAGGTCCCCGGGTTCGATTCCCGGGCCGGGAGAAATATTTGTATGGCCTACATTTATTTCTCTCGTGAGTTTGGGTGTAATTTGTGGTTGTCTATGTGTGTGTCCATGGCACCCGCGACACAGGGTTTCCCTAGTGCGGGGCTATGTTGAGTGTGTGCGTTATTATTATTATTATTATTATTATTAGAATTACAATTATTGACTTATTTTATTTATTTATATTGCTAATACACTTATAAACAATAATTCTTAATACAAAGATCGAACTAATACAAAGGAAAATTCCTTCAATCTGACTGTTGCCTTAGCATGGCTACAGACAGACATCAGATCAGAGTCCAACGGATCGAAGGAATTTTGCTTTGTTTGTTCGAGCTTTGTATCAATATTTATAACAAAGTAGTGGGTGTTTCACAAAATAAAAAGGTACATATCATACTAATAAAAACATCATGATATTCCATAAAAATAAAATATTATATATAATTTACAGACTGGGCACTCTTAAAAGATTTATTTGAGTTATTCTTGAGTAGATACCCAAAAAATACTCACAAAAAGATCGGCATATCTATGCCCGTCTTTTTGTGTGTTTTTTGTGTTTATATTTTGTGTGTGATAATCCCAAAATATTTATCCTTATTCATTTTACTAAACTATCATTACTGACAGTTTTATTTTGAAAGTGACATGTTTCGCATGGACATTAAAAATATTTATAAACATATTATTGAGAAAAGAAACAAGATATATACCTACATAAACAACTTAAAGACTGGAACTAGATTAAACGGGAGAAACCTTATATAAATATAAATTAAAATAGTAAAAAGCTGTCATTTCGGTTGCGTGATGACGTCAACGCAAATATTTAAATAATGTTACTATTAAAATGAAGTTCAATAAGTTTATATATAGTTTAAACATGTAAACCAACAAGTTTTCAGTTCAAACGATGTTTTCTATATTATAAATAAGAAATCGATGTAATCTCGACGTACGTAACTTAAGATTTTGTAAGAACTAGTTTTTTTTAAGTTACTGACTGTCACGATGTTTGACCACCATGATATTTAATAATTTTTGTGAAACTAGTCCACTAGTTATTAATATTGAATTATATTATTAATATTAAGTGTTATAAATATTGAATTAAATTTAACTCTAGTTTGTAATCTGATTGTGGTGACCATCATTTCTGTTTCTGAGTGTTGAAAGTGTTTATTTCCCGTAAATGGGATCGAAAATGTATTATCGAGCCTTCAGAAGTAGAATGGGAGTAAAAGCAAATTTGCAAGTCAAGTGGAAGACAAAAAAATTGTAAACGGCTTGATTCATATCTTATTCACTTTTATAACTATGTTAATATATTTTTAAAAGTTAGTTTTAGCGAATAATACAACTTTGAGTTGACAAATCGATAAGTCTTGAAATTTTAACTCAACTACATTAATAAAATACTATAAATAAAATCAACATTAATAACTACAAATAAAGTGTTTGTTTTTATTTAAACATAAATTAAAATATCTTTTAAATTCGTTCGTTAAAAATAAAATAATTAATGGCACTCAGAAATCATGTGCTAGAAAGAAACGACAATTGTAATTTGTAATTTTGGAAATTTAATGACGCATTAAAGCTACGTACTAAAAATCGTACTACCGACTTTAACCATTAAAACATCTGGTGTTAGTTGAGACGTTCAAAAACAAATTCATATTCTTTTTCAGAATGTTCATGTCAGTTCATTGCAAAAATAAAAAAGTCATATTGCCTACATTACTACACAAGTCACTGGTTTGCTAGAGATACTGAATGAAATGAGAAATTTCTAAGAAAAAGAAATGATATTTTGTCGCTACGTATATTCTTTGCTCTGCATAAATGATCCTTCCACTTTAAGATTGTATAGAAGGTATTGCTACTTGAAATATGGCCCGTAGTTGTACTACGTCGCATCTACATCGTCTTTTATATTTTCTTTAATTATTAATAGATAGTTTCTTTATGTACAGACGTATGTGTGCGTGTAAAGACGGCAACACATTTAGAAGCAGTAGAACTCCTTGTGAAAGAATTCGTCCAAGGAAGTACTGCCACCTTTCCTATTTCTGCCGCCAAGCAGTAATGTTAGCATTGCTGCGTTCCGATTTTAAGGGTAAGGGTGCTAGTGAAATTACAGGCACATGGGACCTGTCAACTTATGTCTCAGAATGACGTGCGCAGTGGCTGTGCCGCTCAGATCTTTGCGATTTAAAGCTCCGAGTGGCAGTACAACTGTTATGGACAGGCATGTAGCTTACCACCAGGCGCACGACTTGTTAGCCCCGTCACTTGATATTATAAAAATAATAACACATCAATATATAGTATTTTTTTACTGCGCCGCCTCCAGGACGTCCACGCCGAAGATGACAAAATCATCACTGGAATTACGTAATATCACCGAAACTGTACACCTTAAAAATATTCTCGAAGTGCCAATCAATACTTATCAACAACAACACAACATAATACTTTGACGTCACCATTCCAATTTACAAAGCCAATTAACAGACCTGGTAAATGTTAAAAGCAAAGGTACTAGCAGATTGAATTATCGCTAAAGGTAATTAAATCCATAAAGTGCTTAACAACGTTAATGAGCGCCTCGGCGGTAGCCGCGATTGCCAAATACAATACCAAACCCTTTATAAAGCGTGTTTTGATTCAATTAATCGGCGGCACGCGACACACGAACTTAGAATTGAAGTCGCTTACCGGTTAGACTTGGAAAAAAAAGTATATATAATACTTGGAGCAAAACAAAAATCTGTTCGTTTAAGGATTCCGTATTTAAAGAAGATTCTCTAGCAAGTTCTTGAACCAATGAACGGTAATTTGAATGCTATAATAAATCGTACAGGTACCAAAAGTATTTCCTTGTTTATTTCATAATTCTTAATAAAATTTATATGACGAAGCAAATTATTTGTACAAATAAACCTAAATGTCTTTGTGAATCTAAAAATACATTAAGCGGTTTCGTTTGAAATTTAGCAACACGTTATGAAATCATATTTTCAGTAATTTTTGATGCAATAAATATTAGAGAAAATGTTAAAAGAAGAAAATAGGATGATGAAAGTTGAATGAAAATAAAAATAGCTCATCGGATGTATTTCAAAATTGATCCTGAGCTGAGTGTACCTTTGTACTTGTAGTACCTTGAGTTTTAGATTAGAATTTATTTTAAACAAAATCCACGGTAGCCTATTCATAAATTTGGAAAAATAACGTACCTGGCAGTAACGCCAATTATCTAAATCCAAATCTTTACTGTGTGCACCACAACTACTCAGAAACAATGTAGGAATGTTCTTTAGCTAATTTGGTCTTATCTCCAAATTTAGCAACCAAATTGTTACCCGGTAGGTCACCGGAGTCGACGATTTACATACGCCTTCATCTACATCGTCACATATATGTATTTATTTTAGCAGTAGAGCTACTTGTGTAATTGTTCGTCCAGGGTAGTACTGCCACCTTACCTATTTCTTTCTGCTATCAAGCAGTAAAGTGGGCATTACTTCGTACATATTTTGAATGAAGGGTGTTGGTGAAATTATAGGCACATGAGACTACTTGTCTATTTATGTCTCAGTGTTGCGTTGCGATTTAAAGCTCTGAGTGGCACTGCTATGGACAGGCGTATTAATACGGTTCATGTTGTAATAAATTTTTTTACAAACAAAATTAAAGCCATTTGAAAAATGCCTATCGTAACTATACGTGTTTTATTTAGTCCAGTGATATAAAAAGAAAAAAATGGTATATCGTCGTTGCAAATTTAAAACTTCTTATGTGTCATTTTGGTCGACAAGAAGTTTTGTAAATATTTGGAAAGAGTATTCAAAGATACAGAAACATTTTTGCTATACATTTAAATATCATTGTTTATCCAAATAACAAAATAGAACAAAAATACTGTAAAAATACTAGGAAAATTTTACAGAAGAAAACTCTTTCATTTTTCTATGATATAGTTACTTTTAACACATTGGAGATATTTATTAAATTTGCAACGACGATATGTAAAATAGCGTTCCTTGTAAAATTTCGAGGTGTGTTTTTTCTTTCGTGAAAATTTTTAGAAATCGTGTTTTCACACGATGTAGTTAATCAGTGTATATCGTCAATTTTACTATACATGTATTTTTCCAAAGTGGTTAATTATTCAACTTTCACTGTTATGTGGAAACAACCAAAGCCATTTGAGGTTGTAATGACTGTCACTAGATAACATAAAAAAATCTATATACGCGATGGTGTTTTCGGGTAGGGTTCTAAAAGTATGTTCATTGTTTTCTCTTAGATCTCTTGGTATTGCTCCAAATTCACCTTCACTTTAATCTGATCTAAGTGACTTATCGTAGCTCTTTCATTGTGTTGCTGAATTATTCCCTTAGTTTATTTATTTTTTGATGTTCTTAAGTAGTATCAGGTACACAAATAAATGCCACGGTTATATTCAAAGCAATATAGCCAGAACATTTTGATTGGCTCCACCCTAATCCCAAAGTTCCCCGAGAAAACAAGATCTAATCGCCGAGAAAGGAACGAAATTGTTTTCCCCAAAACCATCGGTATCCTTCAACCCAAAAGGGGTAAAAGGAAGTTTATAAAATTGATGAACTGACTGCCAAATATCAAGTTCGTTATTTGTATTTTTACAATGAACCAAACATCTATTCAGAATCATTTTTCATAATTCGACCATTAACGGGAAGCACGGTTTCTTTTTTGTGCACCTACCCTGAGATATGTATTTGAGAATTTTATGATGGTCCTATACATTATATTTGTAGGGTCGTATTCTAGAACTCTACTGAATGCTCAAGTCAGGATTTGAAGTTATATAGGGTTTAAAGCATTCGAAATCATACTCAAGTCCCTGCCATTAGGGTCGTATTTCCAGTGCTTGTGTTTCAATTGCAATCCTGACTTGAGCATTGAGTAGAGTTCTAGAATACGACCCTTAGAGTCTTATAATTGGATGTATTTGTATCGTATGGAGGCAAAAAAGTAGGCCAATATTACACAAAATTTTCAAAGATGAAGAGAAGTTCTTTCCTTGCTGAAAACGCTTTATTTACATTAAAAAAAAGTTATCAATAAAACGAGGTCCGTAAATATACAGGTCTCGTTTTTGCCGTCATTGCCGGACTGTTTTGTTTGAGTGTTTTATTAAAATAACTTTTGGAAAATGGTCAAAATATTTCAATCCAGTTTCATTTTATCAATGTACTTAAGCATTTATACTACCTCATTTTTTTATATACTTCAGTTCGAATTCAAATTTTTCCCGTACTAATACGGTTCATATTGCTTGGGTCGAGCGGCAGGGGACACTGGCTTTATTTCAAAATTTATTTTTTACAAATGCAATTAAAACACTTGAAAAATGTGCATCGTACAGTATACATTTTCTATTTAGTTAAGTTGATATAAAAAAATCAATGGTCTATGTAAAGTACTTATTGAATACAGCGGTTTTCTTGTAAAATTTCGAGGTATGTGTGTGTTTTTTTTTTCTATCATGAAAATATTTAGGAATCATGTTTCCCACCATAGTAATCAGGTTATGTTAAAAAATATATACTAAAATTGAGGACAATTTTACTATATATTTTTTCCAAAGTATTGATTCAATACTTTCACTGTTATGTGGAGGTTGTATAGACGCTTAAAAAAGACTTGTAATATTAAAACAGGAACGGCATAAAATAGGCATATCTGTGACGTCACAGTCGAATTAAATGCACTATATTTACTAACGTTTTATAACAAGTCTCTAAAAGAGGCTTTACTTATGCTGTATTCTTTCAATTTTACTTATACTTTACACATGTTAACCACCCAACCGCTAGAGACTTAAGTAACGAACACGTTATTCATTTAGGTATATTTAAGCTTATATTTATTTCATATCTAAATCTGTTTGAGTATTGTGATAGAAGTCAAGAAATATTTATGTATGTCTATTCAGCTATGTTATCGTAGTTTTCTTTTCATAGCGGTGAATATGAATAGCTGCGAGTTTTCACAATAAAAGGTCTACCAGACGTTTAGATTTTTAAATCTCATTAGTTATTTATGTATTAAAGGGATTCATTTCAATATTCTATAGCCACTGTTATGAACCTAGCACACGATAGCAAGAGGCGAACTGCAATGAAACCTAGTTAGTTCGTTATGTTACGAATGATATTATAGTGGTTTATATTATTAAAGCTAGGCTTGTTAGACTTCCGGCGTTGTCACTGACAAATTGCGCGCCACCCCGTGGCGGACCGTGCCTACCCGCCACTAATTGACTGCACGTCAAATTTAGCCGCGATAATCCAAACAGGGGAGAGTTATTCCCTTGCAGGCATTATTTTAATACAAAAAACGACTTGGGGCTCGGAAATGGTACCGAAAACCTAATGTAAACACAAGAAAATTATAAATTGCCCCTTTTCATTTCAACGAGCCTAAATTTAATTGAATTTGCTCGCAAAAACGCAGTAATCGCCAACCCTGTGGCAGTAGTAACGATCCCAGTAATAGCGCTTGTAAACACTTAATTGTAAATTCGACGGCACTTACTATCTGCTGTTAAATGTAAAAGAAAACCTCGTTTACAATAGCTGCAAATAAGCTGCAAATAATTGTAAAGGATGTCGATGATGTAGAAGCCACAACCTCGCATGAAGCCAAGGCATTTGATTATAGTCTAGTATTTTAAACAGGATGTAAAAAAAGCTATCGCCATATTTCGTAATTGGAAAGTAGGAGTAACCAAATCAGAAATTGCAATGTTTTGACTGAACCAATTTTGCGGTGCAAATAGCAATTGATTTGTTAAAAACAACCAAATAACATTTTTCTAAAGGATATAGAGAATAGCTACAATATGAAAAATGATATATCTTAATTAAGTATAAAGTGAACTAATTCAGAATCGAGAACCAGTATTGAAAAAAAAAATCTGGGCCTCTATTTAGTCGAAAGACAAACTAACGACCCCGAAAAAGTTACATTCTAAAAATTCTAAAAGTATACTTCAAATGATTGAAATTGATTATAAGATCAAGATCAATTGTTTATTACTCAACTTTGAAATAATACGATATAAGAACTACATACATTAGAAACTTCAATAGTAAAAGTACGGCTACATTATATAGATAAACGATGCCCAAAATTATGGCAGCGTGAACTCCTTTTTCATGGCTATGCAAATGCGTTAAACAAAGTGGCTGCCAGTCAGTCCATAAATTATAGGAATATTGGTTACCGGAAAACATTGTTTTTATATTAACTATGTTCATAAATATAAAAAATGTTCAAGCGACGCTCCATGCGATGAGAAACTTGGGATTTCTAATTGTTATGACGCTAACATGCCTTAATAATACATTATTGCTAGTGTTTAATATTTAAGTAACAGGATATTAACCTGAAATATAAATAATATATAACCTGATAATGATAAAACCTGTTTTATTTTCATGAGATAGGTATGAGGATACCAGAGTGTAATATAGCAACATTCATAGGAAAATAAAATAAACAGCGAAAGAATCGTCTTCACCAATTATTTATTTACTCTTCTACCTCAGGTAGGGCCTGCTATTATACCTCTAACTCACAATATTAAAATAAAAATCAAAAATGACGTATTGCTTTAAATTTTATTCAAATTTAAACAATATCCTGTTTGTGGAGACAAGAACAATAAAAGTTCAGCCTACAATCTCCAAAGTAAGAGATTAATTGGAATAACTTTGCATACTTGAACGTTCTAATATAAAACGTACTTGTTGATACTTTGATAAACATAAACAAATATTCAGTGCTTTAACCATATCTTTACGTGTCACGTGTTACATTTAGTTACTCTCATTTTGCTAGTAATTTAATTTGCAATATACTTACGTGTAGTAGCGTCTGTAGTACCCGCCAACAGGGAATCCAAAACAAGCATCGCCAACACCATTCTTCCACTTCCAAGCAAAGTAAGCTGACATACAAAATTCATTTTTCTGCCTCGAAAACTACTTTTTGAACGCATTTAGTCCGTCATGGTATTATTACGTTACCGATTGAAATACTAACAACTGTTACATACGATTCCAGCCACGTGTTGGGCGCCAAACTTCTGTTATCGTTGTAGGACAATTAGAAAATATATAGAATAGAGTACTGTGTGAATATTTTGTAACTTTAAGTTTATTTAGACAACAAAAATGTCTACAAATAAATAATATTACCAACAACCTTTAAAACACATAGCTTCGCTCCAAACATACGCGTATCAAACCGTAAAATACACATCAAAATCTTTCGGATTGTATTTGTATCACGCGAAGAAGTGATTAAGGGGTCGTTGTTCAAATTCTGATACGTAATACTTTCCCGAAATCCCGTCAAAAGTTTACGAAGCGATATCCGGAGAACGAGTGGCACACGACCTTCTCTTCCGACAGCCGAAAGATAACTGGCTGCCCAGCCGGCCGGTGCAGACTTGCACTGCTCGCCTACAAGTCTAAGCACCACCCCCTAGTATACCCTTCTCTTTCATGTAAAACGAAGGTGTACAATTCATAAAACAACCCTTTGTAACCTTCTGAATCTGACATTTTCTTCAATAGCTAATATACATATACTGAATACAGTGTACTCAAACAAATTAAGGGGTATTGTCTCAGTATAAATGTGTAGAAATTACATGTATTCAAAAAGCCACTTTCTGATAAAGTTTGCCAAATTATTTAACCTCCTGTGTACCTAAAGGTAGTGAGATTTTATCATATTACTTACCAATTTTCTTTTTTATTAACGATGAATCACAACAATATTATTCATATTACTGAAAGTTTTGCTGTTTTTCAGCTTCACATTACTATTTGAAATTCTTTGGAAATGATTTTCGGATTTAAATCTCGTATATTTGCTTTTTAAAGAAACCAACGTTTCGGACTCTTTACAGGTCCCATGGCCAGGCTGACTGAGAGATGGTGCTCTATGGGACCTGTAAAAAACCCGAAAGCTAGTTTGTTTGAACAAAAATACAAATATAAGCAATTTGGATCCGAAAAAATAGTTTAATTTCCAATGTGGAGCAATCACGAAGACTCGATATTTAAAATATTTTGCATTCAAATTAATGAACAGGCACTGTTTTAAATCGTCTAATACTGGCCATTGCTCTGAGAGGTAAACCAAATATGATCATTATTATACAAGGTATAAGAAATACGATATATAAAATTTTAAAGGCGGAAGCTATGACCCGAATAGGAAACTAAAAGGTTTCGTTATGAGCCGCGGCGACCGCACTTGCAGTATAATGATACTTAGACATTGTAGTTACAAAAGAATATTTTCATTAGCCATAGGTGTAACCACAACGATAGGAAGCCTTACAATATTGTGCTCATGTACTGAACACCGATTTTCTACTAATCTTCCATGTAGATTCTCGAAAGGCAGTGACAAAGATAATTCACTGTAAATTGTGTTACACACCAAGTCAAATGATATTATCTGAAATTTAAGAAAATTCAATTTCGCCTTAATGAGTAACATGTAAATGATCTACAGAGAATATAAGCGTGTACCGAGCATGAGAAAATGTGAAAATAATTATTCATTTTTTTAATTATTTACGTAGATCTAACAATATTCAAATTAGAACACAATTTCTACTCGCCATCATGTTTTAACAATCGTTTTCCAAGAAATTTTGACTATGTTGTTTAGTTCGTTGAGAGTTGGTTTTACTGGAAATTGCTTAATGTCTTTTTGCTTTGGCATCGATAAAAGAATCAAATCAAAGATAAATTTGATGTTTTGTGGAAATTTCTGAAAAGTATTTTCTGCTGTTGAATATTCTAAGTATAGAACTTTATACGAATATCAAACTTAATGCAAAGGTTTTAAATGACATTGCAAAGCAAAGATATTGATTGATGTCTAACTACGAATCGATTAATCGTTTCACTAAAAACAATTTGCTTTTATGCACACTGTCATTTTATATATGGCGTTTTCCCTTAACAAACACGTGGATACCAAGGAGGTAGGTATAATTTATTTGATTCCAGGTAACTTGTACCGTCCGGCTGGTTGGCGCCGCAGAATGAGTTCCGTGAACCGCTGGGTATTTCCTTTGCAACTCCCGCCGACCCATTAATATTTATACTACACGTCAGTCTCAACCATTCCATTCTAGGCCTTATTGTTGGCAAACAATTGCATGAAGAATCGTTAATAAAAGCTTGTTTTCTTTATTAAATACAACACTTACCATTGTTTTTAACAATGCTACATCTGCAAAATGACATATTTTCACTTTTGACTCTTGATGTCAACCGTGACCATGGGACCTGTAAAGGGCCCGAAACGTCGGTTTGTTTGAAAAAACAAATATACGCGATTTAAATCCGGAAAAATAGTTTCATTTCCTATGTGTAACAATCGCGAAAACCTAAGAACTTTTTATGCCCAAATAGGAGAGTAAGAAGTTTGAGTAGCAGTAGAGCTCCTTATGAAAGAGTTCGTCCTAGGAAATACTGCCATCTTACCTATTTCTGCTGCCAAGCAGTAATGTGAGCATTACTGTGTTTCCGTTTTGAAGGGCAAGGATGGATGAATGGAAGGACTTGTCAACTTCATGTCTCATAGTGACGGGCGCAATGACTGTGCCCATCGGATCTTTGCGACTTAAAGCTAAATTGCTCTGCAACTGATTACTGAACTGAACAGTTATAGTATAGTGATGCAACGAAAGTGTCATAACGGAAACAGAAACAGACACAGATGTTTAATGTAAATCTTAGCGGAACCGGAAACGGAAGCGGATGCAGAAGCGGAAGTGTAAACAAAATCTCTATGAAATTATAAAACAGGGCTTGTTTGGTTTCATACACTTAACACAATAAGAAACTGCTAAAAAACACGCACCCCGCCGCCAAACAAATCGCACTAGCGCCTGATCAGTCTCCAACGTTGAAAACTTCCGATTAAAGTTCTGTTATAAAAGTCGCGGAAGCAATAATAATTTCAGTACAGAGTACTAAAAACAACCGACCTCAAAAGTCCATGGAATTACAACTATTTGCCAAGTTTTATTGAAATCGGTCACCGGAAAGTGCGTGAAACCGGTTTCATTCGTCCGCTAGTTTGCCACCCTTAAAGGTGAAATGTTTTCCTCAAATTTAAATGGGATTAATACTGAGGTACCTCTTTCCAACAAAAAGAATCATCAAAATCGGTTCAAAAATGACGAGTTGAGAACCTCCTCCTTTTTTTGAAGTCGGTTCAAAACGGATCCGATGTGAAAAAACGAGCGGAACTTCCTCAGTTGCGGAAGCAGAAGCAGAGGTCTGTCGCATCACCATTATAGTACCTATAAGGATAGGCGTGTCGTTTACCACCAGACCCACGTCTTGTGCATCCCGTCACGAGATACCATAAAAAAAGAGGAAAATTATACAATTTCACATATACATAATTTCTTTCATGTAGTTCGTATTATTCTAATGACTTTCATGCGATAAAAGCAGTTTTGACGTATGATCATAAATGTGGCTTTATCATACCACGGATACGAATAAGGCTGCTAAAAGACTTTTTTAGTTTGCAGTTAATGCGTGAAGTCGTAATCAATTTCATAACGACTTCACGTATTAACTGCATGCAGTCGAATCCGTCTTCATGCAACCGAGATCGACTGCATGCAATTAATGCGTGAAGTCGTTATGAACTTCATGCAGTCATGGTCACGGCTACTTAAAGAGCATTACGACTTCGCGCATTAAGTGCAAACATGCAGTCAATCTGTAACCAGAATTTATGTGGCAATTGTAGAAAAAGGCAAAATTAGAATAGGATAAAAGATATGTAAATTATTTTTCCACTTCCACAACAAAGACCTAAAACAGACACATGGTACAGACAACTTAAACAGAACAGAGTAATTATATTTAACAAACGTATCTTTCTGTAAATCATAGCAGTGAAAAGGCGCTGGCACAGCATAAATAATTGCCCTTGTAGGACTGTAAGGACCCTGTCGGATAAAAACGCCGCTCGTAATCTTAAATAATCCAATTCATTTCAAATATTTGCAGTTTCAAAACAGTTACTCTTTGATATCACAACCATTTTGTTCTTATGTACCGTAACGTGTGTGCATTTATACGTGAGGCGTTATAAGTTTCCGGAATGAAATACTATAAATGATCAGAAATGAATTTATTGTTTCTCAAAATATTCTCCGTTAGCGTTAATGCACTTTTTCATACAAATGAACCAATTTTGAAAATATTTATACCACTCCTCCGTGACAAACTCTAAAACACATTTTATATACACTTCGACAGCCTCTTCAGGTGATGAAAATCGTTGACCGCGTAACTGGTTCTTAATTTATGACAATAAATAAAAGTCACAAGGTGCCAGATCCGGACTGTACGCGGGATGGCTCATAAAGTCAACGTTGTTCACCTTCAAAAATTCATTTGTCTGTTCGGCCGTGTGAGAACTGGCATTATCGTGGTGCAAGACGATACGGCGTTTACGGTTATTTTTACGGAGTTAGTCAATAGCTTCCGGCAAACAAATGGTCGTGTACCAATCACTATTCACACTACAACGACTCTCCAAAGCAACAGTAGCCAGGTGTCCAGTTTTTTTTTAAAGAAGCAACCATCGCGCGATCCGTTTTTTTTGAGCCTCTGTTTCTTTTTCTGTTTTGATCATACGGCACACAGCATCGATGTTTTCGTTGTTCACAGCAGCGGACGGGCGACGATCACGAAATTCGTCGCTGAGATTCACACGACCGCGTTTGAGTTCTGCAAACCAGCTACAAATAGTCGTCTTGCATGATGCTTCATCGCCAAAAGCAGTTTGAAGCCGAGCAAAACTCCGCTGAGCTGTTAAATTACACTTAAAGTCGGAAAAAATCATACTACGAAAATTTTCACGAATTAAATCCATGGTGACGTAGACAACCAATTTCTAAAATGACGCCACAATGTGAAAACAAGTGACAGTCAGATGAAACAAACTGTATTCTACGGCCAAAGAGTTCCATTTTCAAATGTTGTATTTACTTTTTGAATATTGTTTATGTAAGTTCCAGAGTATCCGGTATGTTCATATTTATGCGCGTGTGTTAAACATATTTCGCACATGAAACCTAAAAATGATGAAATTGAGAAAACACGATTTGAAAATAAAAAAAAACACTGTATAAGCCATTATTCGCAGTAAGATTATTGCGAATAATGGGATTATGTTTATTTACGCATAATAATTAGTTATCCACTTATAAACGAATATATAAATTTATTGGTTCCATTCAGTAATTTTTTGAACTTTCAAATCGTGTTTTCTCAATTGCAAGTTTGTAGAGTTTCGAAAATACCGGAAAATCTCGGTACTGGCGAGGTG